AGGGAACATGGAGCGAACAAACACGGGGACTTGGAAATCCAAAAGGATATCAGATATGAAGATGCTTGGAGCGGAGGCGTGGACAAACTCCGCGCCCTGCAGGTTGTTGCGGGTGATGTGGATAGAGACGGAGGAGGTTTCGTGGTGGTGGTGGTGGGGAGTTGAAAGGCAACCCGCCAAAGGGTAGAAGTAGTAGAGAGCTCGAGCGAAGGAGGTCTGGAGGCTGGGGAAGATGATTTCGTCTACGGGGAGGTAGTTAGCGGGGGGTTTTGGGAGGAGGAGGTCGTACTGCGCGTAGGTGGCGGAGATACATTTGAGATCCCAAGAGTTGAGATGGATGACTTTGTCGGTGGTGATTGGCGGTGACGGGAGAACCAATTGCCTTGAGAGGATGCGTTTTTTTTGAATATCTTATGATGTTTAATATATTATTATTTATACTAGTCTTTAGTTCTGTACTTTGCACGTGGACATGTTATTGTATTTAATATTATATTATTTAATAAATCATATATAAACATTTTACAAAGTTATGTAATTGCACTATGATTAAAAAAATTTAAGTTATACTATAATTAATACTGAAAGTACCCTAGAGGGGAGTGAATAGGGTAATTGCTAATCTAATCCGATATTGATGTTAAATTAAAACTATTAACTAATATTCTAGCAATATATAATAAGATATGAATGCAAGGATATAGAATTAAACTAAGGGCGATATAAACATGAGACAAAAGACGATATGAAAATATACAAGAGAATAAATACGCCAATGTCAAACACAAACACAAGAATATGTTCACGGAGTTTGGTCAACCTCGACCTATGTCTCCGCTCCTCACCCTCGAGGAGATACTCCACTATATCACAAAAACAACTACACAATTAGTTTTCAACGCTCACCGATAACGTTTATAACTCACACAATTGTCATTACACAATACATTCCTCTAAGTGTTGGCCTAGCCCGTGTTACATTCCTCAAGTTTTTGGAATTACTACCTCTTACTAGGCTTTTACAACCAAGTCACTCCTCTTAAAATTGACCATGTCTCACTCAACCACTCCTCTAAATGTCCTTATGTATTACAACGTGTTCTCTCAATAATAAGGCATAAATAAATTTGTTTGTTCTCTAATACAAGGATGGTAACTAAGTGTAAGCTCACTCTCAATGACCCAATCATAACCCAAATATACAATATGTAAAATACTAAAAGCTCAATAAGTTGTGTGTGCAATCAATGAGTAAAATGAAATCAACTCAAACTAATCTAGCAAATATGTATGATAATAAAAATATGAACTAGCTAGATAAAAGGAGTTTAGAAAACTTCTCCAAACAAAGAGATGTGGATGGTTGAGGATGAATTCCTCAATATTGAATATCGAATCCTTCTCTTTGTGAAACTATCTTCACTTAAACAAACTTAAAAACCTCTTTAAAATTGAGAAAAACAAACTCTTGAAAAGCCCTTGAAACACATCAGAAAAACCAAGGCAAAAAGGGGAATTTATACTCTAAAAAACAAAGCACACAGAAAACTATCAGTTACAGTGTCATCGGTCAACTGATGGGTTCATCGGTCGACTAATGATCCGACCGTTGGCAAGCTCCTGAACACTATCGGTAGACTGATGGACATCATCGGTCGAATGATAAGATGTTCGGTCGACTGATGAGGATCAGTCGACTGAGCAGAAATAAAAACAACAATTGCGGAGCAATTTATCGGTCGACTAATGAACTTTGTCAGTCAACTGAAAACGTGCACGGCTCCTTGTTTGAACAGTAAAATTAATTTTTAATGTGAGTTTAAAAATAGAAAATAAATTTCAAAAATTAAAACTTGGGGAAATATTTATATGCATGAATATAAATATGTTAGAGAAGAAATTTTTGAAATATCATTTCTTGTTTGTGAAAACTCATCGTTTTGCAAAATGTTCAAGATACGAAATCTCTAAACACTTGTTTTTTGATGAAATTTTCTCAAACAAGCTTGCGTATTCTTGAGATTTTGCAAAATGGATTAATAGACTTTTAGTTTGATGAAATTTTCTCAAACAAGCTTGCGTATTCTTGAGATTTTGCAAAATGGATTAATAGACTTTTAGAAAGGATATAAAATAGTATAATCATTGAGATTTTGCAAAATGGATTAATAGACTTTTAGAAAGGATATAAAATAGTATAATCAAGTCTTTAATCCGTAAACATATTTTTTCCCAAACAAAGATGATGAATATGAAACTAGTATGTGTGTGTGTGTGTGTATATATATATATATATATATATATGAGAAAAATGGAGAACCTTGGTACCAAGTTGTTTAAAGCAACTTGATAGTGATGTGGCCTAATCTTGCTCCTACATCACACCTCTATATATATATATATAACTATTAGTTTCATATTTATACGAATAAACTTGAAGGCTATAAAACAAAAACATGTATGTGTGTAATATTTGAGCTTTTAAGTATGACACATAAAGTAAATCTCCTAAACTACTATACCCAAGCAAATGATCTTCGTTAAGCTCGATCTTGGTAAAACATGGATGAAGTGCAATAGAATCTTTGACTTGAATTGTGACGGCTTCATTCCTATTTTCCTTCCAACCTCCTATAAATATCATCGTGAAGGCGCAAGTCCAACCAACCTCCGACAAAGAATATTTGTATAGAATACCTAACAGGCAAATACAAATACTCGACAAATGATGTTAGAAATTGTTTGTTAATCATCAAAACTAGATTATATAGTAGGCTCATAAATCTGAGACCTAACAATCTCCCCCTTTTTGATAAACATGAGACCTAACAAATACTTATACTATTATTAACATACATTTAATAGTTATTTAAATTAGCTTATTATTATATTATTAAACACATTTAATAGTTATTTAAATTAGCTTATTATTATATTATTAAACAATTTATTTAGGAGTATAATTATTAAATAATAATGTAAATTTAAATTAGCTTATTATTATATTATTAAACAATTTATTTAGGAGTATAATTATTAAATAATAATGTAACCATTAGTTTAAGTAACACTATTAATATAATTAAACCATTTATATTATTAAATATTTATGTTATGGACATGTTTTATTACAATATTTATTAGATAATGGCAGTAGCTTTTAATATTATATGACTTTATTTTGTAATAATATTACCTTGCTCGATAATTAATATTATCTTAGTAATAAAAAATTGGATGGAATAAATTAAAACTACTATTATTAAGGAAAAGTATTTTATATAAAAATATTGGATCTTTGAAATTTATGAGGTATTTACTTTCCAACAAAATGTGAATGAATCATAGATTTCAAAAATCCAATATTTTTATATAAAGTAACTTTTCTAAATAAAAATATTTTTAATTCATAATGTCTAATTTTTATTACTAAGATGATATTATAATATCCAAAAGGGTGATATTCCTTACAATATAAAGAACTAACCCCTATTTATGCTATTATTAATAACTATAATTATGTATAATATTTTATTAAATAAATAATTTTACTATTTCATTACAATTAATAATTATTTTATAATGAATTATAATATATTTATTAACTTTATTATCATTATAAATTATTAATATGTTCTAGCGAGTGACCAAATATTTTGGGAAAAAGAAGAGAAAAGTATATGTAATTATCGAACAAGGTAATATTCTTTGCAACATAAAGAAGTAACTCATGTTTCTACTATTATTAATAATTATAATTATGTGTAGTAATTTATTAAATGAAGACTTTTACTATTTTATATAATTAATAATTATTTATAATAAATTATCATATATTTATGAATTTTGTCATCATTATAAATTATTAATATATTCTAGTGAATGACCAAATAATTTATGTCTCATAAATTTCATGGATCTTAATATTTTTATATAAATTAATTTTCCAAAATAAAAATTATTAATAATTATAATTATCGAACAAGGTAATATTCTTTGCAACATAAAGAAGTAACTCATGTTTCTACTATTATTAATAATTATAATTATGTACAGTAATTTATTAAATGAAGACTTTTACTATTTTATATAATTAATAATTATTTATAATAAATTATCATATATTTACGAATTTTGTTATCATTATAAATTATTAATATATTCTAGTGAATGACCAAATAATTTCAGAAAATGAAGAGGTGCATAGTTAATGAGAGATTATGGATCATTAGTTTTATAAATAATGGTATAATTGTGAGAGATAATAAATTGAGAGGTTAAAAAGGGAAATCAAAAGTTTTGACATGGGTATTCTCTTTTATAAGTAGTATAGATTTTTATTATCTTTAACAAGCATTTTAAAACACGCTAAGATCCCATTAACTTCTCAGTTTCCAACAAATTTAACATTTATATTATCTTTAACAAGCATTTTAAAACACGCTAAGATCTCGTTAACTTCTTAGTTTCCAACAATGAGAATTAACAAATAATAACGTGCTCCGTGTGCATGACATAATACTTCAAGTACACTTCATGTGTTGCTCTAAAAACACATACACTAAGATCTAGGGTTGGTCGGAGCCAGGTCGACCTGCGGGCTAACCCGGTCTAGTTCGTCATGGATCACAATTCGGCTCAGCCTGTAGTGGGTCGGGCCAAACCTACCCCATGATATATCTAGGTCATGGGCCGGGCTAGGCCCTCCTTCGAATCCAGGGTCAGAGAAATATGCTCGGCTCATGCTAGCCTGGTCCACATTCGACCCAGCCCAGCTCTACCCGTCCTGGCCCATAATATATTTTTTTGTTAGGCTAGCTTTTTTGTTGGCCTTTAGAGTCTGCAGCTAGCTGCCAACATAGCCAAAAAACTATAGATCTTAGGCTCGTTGGCCTTTTGGCCCATTGAGAAATGATCATCGCGTTGTATTACACTTTTATACACTTATTATCTATTTTATTTAAAAAAATATATTACTAATAACAT